CTTTTATACCACAATATAATAACGATCGTATCTCCTGAACTAAAAGAGATATTAAAATTCCTGTAACCACCTTTTTCATAGTTCTCACTCCGCCCTACAAAAAGTGTCCCATTAAAAAATTCATTATCCCTTTTAATTTCGGAGAAAATCGACCAAAAACTGACGAAAGAGACAATTCGTGTTTCCATTTTCTTTCAATAAATTTCCCATGCTTTATTTAGGAGTTTCCTCCTATTAGGATTCCCTAGGGATTATAAAATCATATAGTTCGTAAGGATAAGAAACGCTATGGGAGGAATACGTCACAATCACCCCTCGTTTTATTGAGTAGATCATATCTTCAATCCCAGGAAGATAATTCCCCTGAAGGAATAGTCGTAAATTTCCCTCCAGTTTCATCAGGAAGTCGGTATATATTTTTCTTCTCATTGGGAGTGACTCTAGCTGGAGATTTTGGTAGTGAGTTGCGTCATGGAGTATTCGTACGCGCCGTCGTGAGGGCACAAGTGGTGGGAAAAGCAAGTTGGATTTTGTTGGTGATACTGAAGGGCTCAGAGTTAGTTGAACATCGAGAAGAGGAGAAATATTAGGGAATTGTCTCGCAATTGAGAATATCTTTCTTATTTAAGCCGTTTGTACCTGCGCAGTAATTTAGAAAATTGTCAGGAAACTCAAGATCAGCTGATGACACACTTATTGGCGACACACGTTGGGTGATGTAAAAAAGGTCAGAGCAGGTCACATGGATTTTATAGTAGCAAATGTCGAGGTTTTTCTGCATTTTTTTTGCAATTTCTCAAGGCTAAATTATTCAGGAGCAATTGTTTGTTGGAATTGTAGAAAAATTCCGAGTTATTTACGTCGGTTTTTTGGGGATATCTTCGGATTTATGGGGGATATCGAAATTTTTTATAGGATCTTTTTTGCAGAGATAATTGAGAACTACAAAAAAGGGAATTACTAAAATTTCGGTAGCTGCGGTCGTTCTGGAGATATCACGGGGAATTCACTTCAGTGTAGAATTTCTGTTACATTCTTTGGAAGTTTTTTTGAAAATACACCAAAATTGAGGGGAGATACGGGAATTTTTGTGAAGACCTTTTTTGTGGAGCTTATTGAGAGCTAAAAAAAATGTCGTCACGAAATTTCGTCATCTACCTTGGTTCCGGAGATATCGACGA